AGACATTTTGGTAAGATTTCTAGTGACAGATTTGGTAAGATTTCTCAGTGACAAAAGGTTGCATCGGAAGACATTTATTTCATTCTATAATGAGTTTACAAGTTTGATAAGAAAAAGTAATGGCAGAAAACTGATTTCATTTTGTAAGACTTCAAACCACAGCATATACTGATAAGGAAATAATCACCATAATATATTAATAAAAGCCTTTGGGGGGCTGGCTTCCAGCTGACATGTTTAGGGTGTATGCAGCAGCATTATCTCATCACTATCAGATGATGTAGTATGGTTGTCTCCCAGGGCAGAGGTCGTGTGGATGAAGAACTAGCATATCACAGAAAGTAGTGTTTTCTGTGAAGAATCCATGTGTAGCAGGGTATTGCTAGCACCATTCAACAGGAATTAGCAGCAAACCTGTCACGATTTAGTACTTGACAGTGATCCAGAAGTAAATATAAAGATTATGCTGATACAGCACAGCAATGAGAAAAAGATTAATCAAATATAATTAATGACAAAAAACAAATCAGTTCCCAGAAAAGTGCCATGAATCTGATTTAGGGCTGGGGGAGAGAAGGAGGAGGAATGGCTTAAGCAGTGAGAAACTTAAGAGTTTCTCTGTTCAGGTTGAAGAAGATTCAGAGATAACTTCATTACAGAACATAAGTACCTTCACAGGAAGAAAATAGGGGATACTGAAAAACCCCCTTGTTTTAGCAGAGAAATACAAAGCAGAAAGCAGCAGCTGGAAGCCGAAACCAGAAAGTGTCAAAGTAAACATTAGATACAATTTTTAACAGCGATTTTGGAGGGCCATTAAAACACTGTCCAACAGTATGAGTGCATCTTTCCTTACCTGATATCTTTAATCTGGATGTGAATGTCTGTTTTGGAAGATACATTTTGGGCAAACTATGTATCATACATAGTCCTGTCTTCTTTCTAGCTAATAGTGCTAGCTGTAGGAGGGAAGATGTGGCAGTCCAGATTTCAATATGGATTGCAGAAGCCTGGTAAGAAATCTGGGTACATGCTTGAGTTGTTAGTTCACACAGACATTCCTAGCAGTGCACGTACAGTGCTGCAGGTTAAACCTCAGCTATGACTACCTCACTGCAACATTGCCTTCGTTCTGCTGTGTAGACACAAGGGAGGAGGTAAGGGTGAAAAAGAAAAGGAATATCTGAGTTGAGGAGTAACTTTGAAATAACAGTAGGGAGCTCAAACTTGAAGCTTTGTGTAGAGATTCAAGAATGGGATTATTGTATTGAAGTTGGAAGAAAGAGAATTTTTACAGTAATATTTTATAAGGACTATAAGGAGATATTATCAGAGACCAAAGAAAAGGCATTTGCATTAGGCAAGAGAAAAAATGAGAGCTGTGGTGCTTAATCCAAGGGAAAGCAGCTCTTTGAAATGTTGTGAAAACGAAAATGGCAAAATCTTGTTTCCAAAAAAACAGCAAGTATAGCATGTAAATGACAAACTCATTTTCCCTTCATCCAGAAATAAAGAGCTACATTCTGCTCCCACTTCCAAACATAAAATACTTAAAAAACTATAAATGGCCCAGTGAGGAATAACTAAGACTACAGCTCGGTTTCACCATCCTGGTTTTTATTCAGCATCACTCTTGGCACTGCAGATGTCATCTGTGGGGTTTGAATCCCGTAGAGCTGAACAGATTTTGGTCTGATTTTACCTTTGATTTGAACAATCATAAAGATAGGAGGATTTTAGAAACAGGATCATATCTCCTATTCTGAGGTCACTTAGATTCAGGATTTCTGCTGAGGCCTATCTCATACTTTTTTACAGATATTTAAAAGCCTGTAATAGCACACACACAGGTTATATTAATTTCCAGTGCCTAAATCCTTTAAGTGCTTTGGAGATTTCCCTGCTAATCCTCTTTTTAATGCATAAACCTAGAGGGTAGGTTTGAGACCTTTGGGATTTATTCTTTGTGGTGGTTGTTTTCCAACAGAAGAATCTTTCAAGGGTAGCAACAGAAAGTGCTAAATACACAGACATAGGAAGTTTATATGCTGTTTATATTATCACAGTAATCTGCTAGTCTTTTTTTTTTTGCAAATGAAGGGAAAGAAATTGTGACTATTATTAGTAATTACACTACTTACAGTAATTTTAAACACTAATATTAAATTTATGCATAAGTGTTAAATCCTGACTGAACAACTGAAATCCTTTTCTTTCCAAGGGCAAAATAACTGTATTAATATTAATGAAGCCACAAAAGACAAGTTATCTGACAGCATTTTTGCAGTTGCTGTATTTTATTGCTGAAACTTTATTATATTTTTCATGTCTGAATGTAAAAAATGAATAAAACTATCACAGACTGCTCTTTGTTGTAAGTGACATGCCTTTTCTTTATGATGCATGCTTTGCCATAAAAAGGGAGTGCTTAATGCATTTCTGTTGGGAGATGCCTATTTATTCTGACAAACTGATCAGCCTCCAGGGTGTTCTTTTGCCACAGAACTGATTTTACATCTCATCCATTATCTAATAAGATGTGAAAAGAGTATCCTCTCTCACCAAAAAAAATCAAGCTTTGTTTCATTACAAGGATGTGGCAGGCTCATGGACTTACTTGCAGGAAACACAATTGTTAGTGAAAGGCCCAGTTGTACTCTCATGCATGTTTCCAGTACAGCAGGCCTATGGGGAAAACATTGATAACATTGGTCCTGAGGATTTTTCATTTTAAAGGTAAGTATAAAAAGTGGCCTCTGTAATAGGAAAATGCACTTCACATCTTTAAATAATATAGCATGAGTGTATGAATTTTAGTATTATAATAAATAGTGATGCCACATAAACTACATAGTGAGGCAGCTGGAATGTCTTTGCAAAATATATGCCCTGGTTTGCTGGGTTTTTTTCTTTCTTCAGTATTTTCCCCCCCTTTCTTTTTTTGTTTATGAAAGGTTTAAAAATGTGCTTGCATGGGAAAAGTGAGAGAGACTGGAGAGAGGAAGCAAGCTGAGGCGTTGTGTGATAAGGCAGTGATAAAGCAAGTGTATACAAAAACTCTTTCAGACAAATGTTTTCAGCTGAACTGAAGAGAACAGAAAAAGAGAATAGGTCACAGAGCAGGAAATACAGTTAAACCTGGCCATGACCTTGATTGTTAAGGAATAACAAGTCTTTGAGCTATCAGGCACCCAGACAGACAGTACCGCTCTGTATGTGTTTAAGCAGTGTTCAACACGGCTGAAACTTTTGACCACTAATGTAGTGTGTATTGTTGTTGTATTTAAATAATGTTCTATTACAATAATGCAGCCTCTCATTAAACATACCTTACAAAAGCCTCCATTTTTAAGCTGCTTGCTAACAAGTGCAAGTGAATTAACAAATCAGTGTTAGTTGAAATTAAAAAAAAAAAAATCATTGAGAAAATAGTGGAGAAAAGTGACAAGAAAGCAAACAAGTGATTAAGTTTGATATCTCTGGAAGTTAGAACACTCACTCCACTCCTCCACTCCAAATTTCCCTGACTTTCTGCATAACAGGATCAATCCTTTTTGACTTGCACAATGCTTCATTTCATTCAAGTGCAGTTTCTTTAGCATGACAATGAAATATGATTTTCAGTGCTTCTTAGAAAAGTGACAATACAGCTTGAAAGAGTTCAAAATGAAATTGCAAAAGCTGGAATTTGTGGCAGACATATGTTCTAGTGTCATGTCCTTCTCATATCCTTTATTCATTGCATGTGAATGCAGCTCTGTATCTAAATATCAAGGCTGTTTTATCAGTCTTGCTTATAATGCCAGTCAGAATGGATTACCACTGAGAGATCTTTCAGAGTCTGGAGTTGCATCAAGACAGCATAGCTTTAAAACAGCATAAAAAAGGCCCATTTTACATTATCGACTTTTCCCCTTACCTGCAAGGACACAGAATTTAATGCAGCATTGATGGCTCAAAGACTTTGACACATGTCAAGACAGATATCTTCATTTTAGAGTTTTTTAAAAAAAAGGCATCAAACTTGATACATATGAACCACTTTTCATGGCAGAGGTAGCTCAGACTGAGATAGGGACAATTGTTTTACTTGTCTGCAAAAGACATTACTTTTCAGTGAAGCCTTATGCAAAGAATAATGTAATTTAAGGAAGATGGAACCAGAACAATTGCTAGAAATGCAATAAGAGTCTAGAGATGGTCCTCTAAAACCCGTGTTAAGTAACCTGTCATTGTGTTCTTCCCATGGATTTTTTCAAACAATTCTGTAAAAGTCTGTGGCAAGGATATAATTTTCTAGAAAATTATATTTTGCATGACCTATATAAAGTGATCATCCCCTAGTAAAGTCAGCAGTAGTTTTCTATAGAGAATGTGTTTGATTCAGAACTGTGAATAGCATTAGAATTATAGAATCGTTTGGTTGGAAGAGACCTTTGAGATCATCGAGTCCAACCATACCTGTCCACTACTAAACCACATCGCTGAGCCCCCCATCTACCCGTCTTTTAGACATCTCCAGGGATGGCGACTCAACCACCTCCCTGGGCAGCCCGTTCCAGTGCCTGAGAACCCTTTCAGTGAAGACATTTTTCCTGACATCCAATCTGTACCTCCCTTGGCGCAACTAGCCAGCACTATAAAGCAGAACTGCTTGTTTCAGCCAACACCCTTCTTGTATAAACAGATTTCACTGTAGGAGAAACACACTCAGAAGTACCTAGGATGACTTTATGTCCCTAAATGGACCATGTAGCAAAATCTCATTTTTAATAATGGCATTAATGTTACTTCACCAATGAAATGTATAATAAGAACAACAGCAAAATTGTTGTGTTAATGATCAGTGTATAATAAGATGCACAATTAGGAGGATTATGGGAATTTAATGGGATGAGAAGGGCAAGAGATCATGTGCTGTATGACTCTTCATGATTGTAACCTGCTGTCTATATCCCTAATGTGTTTTTATGACTTGTGTGCTTTGGTTTGTTTTCCAGTTTGTGTTCTGCCGTGAATGTAAAGAGGAATACCATGAAGGGGAATGCAGCTCTCTCCTCAGCACGCAGGGAGCCATGGCCCAGAAGGTAGGGATCCCACAACTCATTACATCCTGATCATTATCCCTGGCCCAGCTAGAGCAACATTTGTCAAATGGGTCCTAATTATAATCCTAAGTAAAAGCAATTATCTTCATGCTGAATTACTCCAGCCATCAGAGTTGCCGGATTGGCTTTGCAGTGGATTTCAGTCGCTTTGATTGATAGAGTAGCTGAGTTCTGTCAGGAACACACAGGGCTCTGCCATCACTTGATAAAGAAAAGGCCATCCCAATGGGCTTTTGGGGTTGTCTGTATTCAATGTGAACACTTTTGAAAGGCTTTCTGTAGACTTGCTGCCTTTCAGCCTATTTTCAGTGTACCAGTCAGGAAATTATGTGGGTTTGGACTGAATAACAGAGTTATTATACAGCCTATGCAGAAAATGCTGTTCATAATTTATGCTTTAGCTTAGAAAAATAAAAAATGGATTGCCTAAACTGGAAGCTGATAGATTATAATTATTCTAGGCTGCTCTATAATTTTTTAGCCATGGTAGCTATAAACCTGGACAGAAAATAGTTTTTCTCTCCTGGCATTTCTCTGTTTGAGATTCAAGATCCCTTGTTCTCTGTGGCAAATAAATCACGGTCTTTCAAATTAAAAAAAAAAAAAAAAAAAGAGAGAGAGAGAGAAAGCACAAAGAACAGGAGAGATACTCCCTGAAAATGTCACAGCTTGATGCCCAGGGTATGCTCCTAGGAAGCGGAAAACTGATATTCAGATGTCTGGTATATTCAATGCCAGAACTTGAACCCTGAGCCCTGACACAGTCCAGCACGACAGATACAGGATTGTGGGCAGGTGCTGGTGAGAACTTGTGTCTGGCCAGCTCTCAGCAAGGCATGCCCAGCTCCTGTCAGTGCCTGCAGGCAGGCTCTGTCTCAGGCTGGCTTTTGTGGCCTCTCACTCTTTGAACGTAGAGACTGGGAGGGAGCTGGAGGTCTACTGGGATCCTTTGCCATGTGCTGCCTTGAGACAGTTCATTTGCCATACTTTGCAGATGCTGCATTGGGCTATGACCTGTGTAAGGATTCTTCTCTTTAACCTTTCTTAATGAAGCTCTTCTAATTTATAGAAAGAATTAGCACTCCTTGAGACAGAGTTAAACAGCCTGTATCCTAGTAGTCAGTCAAGGTATCTACCTCTGGTGCCCTGAAACCTGTGTACAGTATGAGATTCCAAATCCACCTACTTTCCCAGCCTCTAGTGATCTGTGATTCAGATATGGTATTTTGTGTTTAGCAGCTACCAGCAAATTTTTATTCCTTGAATTTGTGCAATCTCTTTTTTGAAGCCATATATATACAAAGAAATTGGCAGTTTAACTGCCTGCTATGAAGAACAATCTCTTTTTGTTTGCAGTAGCCTTGGAGCAGTCTTCCAGCTCCCATTCAGTTTTATGTAAAAACAGAATTACTTCAACGGAGACATTGAGAGATACTTAAAGTATTCAATAGCCTTGTAAAGTAAGAGACCAAGGCTGGATATCTCACCTGAATTAAATAGAGCTAGAACTTGAATACATCTCAATATGAACAGTAAGCCCTATATCCATTAAGCTATTTATGCCTAGAATTTTGCCTAGCATACTGAAAGTCATCGTGGCACTTTAGAAATGAGTTCAACAATGTTGGTGCTGTGGAAGTGAGAGTATGTATAATTTCCATGCTCTAGGGCAGAGATAAAGGTGTGCCAGGAAAAATCTGAATACCATAGGAAGCAGTGTTTTATTTAAATATTTGTATGTTGTTTTAGCTTCTCCTGCTCACAATGGGATCACTTCACCCATCTGGTCCAGTAGCTCAGCACATGAATTGCCCCTAATTAGTCCTGTTAACTTAGGAAAGTTGACTACTGTTGCTGTTCCAGTGTAATGTTAACATTTTTGCTGTTCCTGAAAGATTTCCTGCACTCTCAAAGAGCTATTCCAGAGTAGCTAAATGCTAGTACCAGAATAACTCTTGCAGCTATGCAGATCGTTTCACAGTATAGAAAAGACCATAGACTACCCAAAATTCATTTAGACTCCAACTTAAACTGAAGTTAATTTACTCAGGTCAGTCTTTTCCGCTAATAAACTAAGAGAGCTGCACTAATTAAACTTCTCCACAAGGTGGTGATGTGCCACTGAAGGAATGTTTTCCCTGGCTTTCTGTAACCAGGCGAGCAAACTGAGGTGGCTAAAACAAGGCAAGCCCAGGTGCTGGTGGGATGCTGGTTTCATCTGAATAACATCACTACAAAGCTGTCTTGCATACAACACTCCCATACAATGCATGAAAAACATTGGTGGGGCATATATAGAAAGAAGTGTGTGTGGGACCGTTTCACCTCTCTCACTAAAATTAATTTAAACATTTATCTACCTGTGCTTTCAGCCTTTTTGTTCTGCCTTTCCCTGCTAGATGCACAGCCCCGTGTGTCAGAGTTAACTTGCTATTACTGTACTACTCATTTGGGCAGTGAGAAGGATTGTTTTATTTTTGAGCATCTGTTTCAAGGTAGGAGTAATACACTTCCAGTGTCTTTTATTACAGCTTCAGCTCCTCCAGTTTGACTCCTGTCCACATCCTTTCCATATCATTTATTTTAGAAACAGATCTTATTATCACAGCTCCCACCATTTGGAGTCAATCAGATGCACTACCACCAAGCTGTTCCTCTCTGGAAGTGGTGCAGGATATGTGGTCTCAGGAAAATACTTTCTGTAAGAAAAATACAGGTTTTATTTTTAGCCTCTAGTGGCTATAGGAGTGAAAGTAGCTGCTGTTGTCTTCACGCTTCTGCAAATGCCTGCACGTCCCTGATGTTCCCAGTGTGAGAAGAAACATTTGCAGACAGGTTTAGGCCGAAGTCAGCATGATAGAGAAGAATATGGTGGAGCATGAGGAGTGACAAAGAGCTGGAAGAAAAGCCAAAAAGGAGTGTTGTTGTACAGGAATTGGGTAGCCAGAAGTTGATGGCAACACAGAGAGCAGGGAGAGCCATGGTGCCACTTAAAGCAGCCCTCTAATGGTCTGTGTGCCAGGACACTGCAAGAGCCATCTGTTCCCTGTGGCTCCCTATGGGCCTGTCAGGGCAGGGTCTGGCACCTCCCTGGGGATGGAGATGGGCTGAGGACGGGCCAGTATGGGGGCCTGCTGTGAGCCTGTCTCAGCAAGGGCCGTGGCCAGGCAGGGCAGGGCTGTGGGGAGCTGGAGATCGCCCCTGCTGTGGAGTTGCTGGGACAGGAGCTGACAGCACCAGGGGCTGACATGGAGCCCTGGGCTGTGGGCAGAGTGGGGGGAATGCCAGGGGACTGTGCTGGGACACCAAGGTCTGGTGGTGTTTTCAGAGCCTGACAGCAATTTAGGAAGTCTTGGAGAAGGAAAACCTTCAAAAAGAGAGGTAGAGCCTGATAGAGAGGCATTCAAGTGTCCATGAAAGCCAAGAGCTGACGAGAGCAAGAGGTGAAGATGCTATTTTTTGTCTATGAGCTTTCAGAGACAGAGATCCAGACAGAGGAGAAGAAGAGAAGAGAAGGGAAATAAGCCTGTGAGATGACATGGGACAACTATGAGGGTGCAGGAAGCAGAATGATGGTGGTGAAAGGGGCCTATGCTGATGTCAGAAGGAGTAAGGAGGAAGCCTGAAGTCAAGAGGAGAGAGCAGAGCTGGTGGACTTGAAGGGAGGGAGGGCAGCAGGGAAGAGGTAATGGAGTCAGTTGACAGGAGGAAGGAAGAGGGCAACCATGGCTGCAGAGCACAAGAGGGACAAAGTAGGTGCCATGCGTGGTGCTTAAGGCTATTCAAAATAAAGGGGGTTGAACCTTATAAAGGTGGGAAGCGAGACGGTACTGCTTGCTGTTTGGGGTAGAAAAGGTAAAATCAGCAACGGGGCATACAGAGAATAACTTAACTTTCAATACTGGTATACCACAGTCTTTCAGATCTGTGCACAGATATTGCATAGTCCATTGGGATGGATAAAATGTCCTCTTCCTACTAGAATGTCCTTTTTTAGCCCTGATAGGCCATTGAAAACTCATCTTAAGCATTTACTGGTGCAGAACTCATTATTTCCCATCTTAGTATGTAAGTTACATAATATCAGTGAAAATAAAATGCATCTGTGGCAACTTTCTGTTTGATGAATTAAAAGGTACAGCGTGCATGATGGAATCAATGACACAATAAAGGTGACTGCAGCCAGATTTAGGTTTAGAAATAACCACATAGTCCCTGCTATGTACACCACAAAACCAAGCTTCCTGGACCCTTTTAACCTCACCCATATGCAGTTTCTGCTGATTGGGAATCTAGCCATAAACCAGCTTCCTCTGTAAATCCTCACCTTAAAATTAGCCTAGCTTCCCTAGCACAAAACCTTTCTGGACAGCTTGCTTTTTACCAGGATAAATAATGCACTTTCTTGCTCTCTAGAAATTGGACAATAAAAGGTGACCATGTACTAGATTTGAACATGTACAGAGTAGCTCCCAAGACTGTTTCAGTGCTGGGCATGCTGATCAGACACCAACAAGGTTAAACTGTAATAGCAATAGCAATGACGCTGATGTAAAATTGGTGCAGATGTAAATAAATGAATAGACTATGGAGACAGAGATATAAATGTTTGAAAAAAATAACACATAAACTGGATTAAATGGGTTATAAAAAGGTATGTTTTAGAGATGGTTCTATGGACAAGCTTTCCCCAAGATGGTTTTAGCCACAGATTATCTTGTCCTGCCAAGCCAATGAGTCTGTGATTATAAAAAGGTAACAGCTTTTTAGTAGGTTCGCTTTTTCAGAGGTTGCTGTGAATTTAGTAAAGAGAATAAATTAAGCATCATGATAGATTTCTGTAGTACAGCTGTAAGCAATTCCCTCCAATCACCTGCATTCAAAGGCTTGAATCTAAAAGAACATCCAATGTCTAATTCATCACTCCACAGACCCAGTCTGGCAGTCTTTGTGGAACCCAGATGTAAATCCAGGTCATC